ACGAGCTTTTAAATTCACTTCCTCCATTCGTCTTCTCACCGTACGCTCACTAACATTAACGCCTCTTGCGATTTGGAGCCGCTGGCGTATCTCAACAGCGGTCAGGTAGCGGTTTCTCAAAATCTCCATAACAATAAAACGATCGTCCCGGGCCGATGTGCACCTTACGCCCCCACTGCCTGGCCTGCGGGTGTAGCGGCCTGTTTCCTGGTATCGTTTCAGTGAATACTGCATTGAGGACCGTGGTACGTTAAGCACAATAGCAACTTCACGCTGTGTCAGCCCTTGGTCAATTAATGCTACTGCTTGTGCAACTTGTGCTGGTGTTAATGGCATTTTTATTGGCTTTAAAGCACCTTTAGTTATTTAATTAAGACACAAGATCACAATAATTGAATAACCTTACAGTAAACTTTTCACAACACACAAATTTAAAATGTGAACTTAGTCGCTCAAATGACCCGATTCAACTAAAAATTAAAGAATTCGTCATGGTGCACTTAAACATAATGAATTACCCTCTTGAACTTGAGGGTAAACATTTTTTGACATACTTGCATAACAAACATTCATCAGAAACACTTAAAGCTTTTGCTATCGCGAGATAACCGCTTGGCCAAGTTTCCGTGCCGGTGAGTGTATAATAACGTACTATATAGTATAGATTACCCTAATAAAATATTCAATGTTTACAAAAGTTTAAAAACACATACAAGTGATAAAGTTTGATAACTCATTTATATGTATTGAAGCTTCTGGAGTACTGTGTACATTCTAATGTTCTAAGTTACTACAAATTTATTTATTATTTAATATTAATTCTATTTGTTATTTTAATCTAGAATATTTTATTTATATATCATATTATTTGCCTAGGTGCGTCTGGGTGTTTGTCACTCTCTTGCTTATTGTACTAGGGATGTTACGAAAGTGGTTATATCGGAACCGAATTTGGAAGCAGAGTTTTTAAATTTCGTTTGTCGCAACCGAAACCGGAATCGGAGGTGAAGGCAGAGGTGTAAAATTACACACATTATTCATTACAAATATGTTCGGTGAGAACTGTCTTCGCCTTAACTGATAATTCGGCACTATGAACTGCATGAGTCGTCTGAATTCAATACCTTTCACGAAATTTAAAGATAAAAACACATCTGATAAAAATAGAGTGTAGCAGGTGAATGGAATAGAAGTCTATTATATTTTTTTCTTTTACCTAATATATTATTATGAAAATTATTAATTTATCAATAAATACTACTAATTGGGTGCGTATTATTCGATAGTTTTATTGATAGATCAATTTCATAATATGTTAATATAAAAGCAAAAAAATTATAAAATATCAGTGCCATAGGCTTCTTTTCCGTTCACCCGTTACATTCTATTTTTTTCCAGACGGTTAAAAAAATCAACCTGTATGTTATGTTTATTTACAATATATGTCTAGTACTGATTTTAACATTTTTTTTCCAGACGGTAAAAAAAATCACCCTGTATGTTATGTTCGTTTACAATATATGTCTAGTTCTGATTTTAACATTTTTTTTCCAGACGGTAAAAAAATCACTCTGTATGTTATGTTCGTTTACAATATATGTCTAGTACTGATTTTAACATTTTTTTAGCACATACCAACTTTTACTTGCCTAATTCTCCCGGGTTATTGGTAGAGAATGCCATTATAACCTTTAGATTAAGGTGTATCACAATAAAAGTTAAATAAATAAATGTACAATTTAATGAAATATTTGGTGTGACATAACATTAAAGAAATCTTCAATGTTTTTCGTACTGCGAACGATCTACTTACAAAGCATGGAACTTATTGTTATCACTGAAAAACTTGGTAGAGATCTATCTATAACTATAATATTTTATTGGATGTTCACTCAAATGTTCCAACTCATTTTAAATGCCATGTTTTTGCGAAGTTAAGTCAAATAAAATCCTTACTTTTAAATACGTATATCGACGCCTTGCCAATGATTGATAATTTTGGAATAACGAAACTTCAATTTGCTATAAGCGAGTTTATTTTCAATCTCAGTGGATCTCGACAATTAAATGCAAATTCCGAATCCGTAGGCGACGGAGCTCCTTTAGGATATTTGACGAGTATTTTATTTTATTTCCAATGAAATATACATTATGTGTTGTAATTAAAATAAATTCAAGTATTTTTTAGAATTTACAACACAATCCCACGGGACGACATGGGTATAGTGGATTTTCTTAAACCGTCAACACACGGCCAATTTCATGGTGAAATTGAGAAGTGTATTTGCACCTTAACAATCAACGATATTCAAACGATTTCATAAGAAACTGTAACAGCGTAGGTATATGACAAGCTTCCGTTGCAACTTACAAGTTACAACTGAGCATAGATAACCAAGACTGCAACTGAGTGTCGTTCGCGCCCACGCGACGTGGGCGAGACGAACACGGCCGCGTAAATCGCAATAAAGGCGACATTAAACCATCACCTGTCCAGCATCCGTAAATATAAATAAACAAATCGTTCTTGCAACGCTCATGCATATTTTAAATGACTGTTTACAGTTGAGTAACAGCCTTTTGCAAGACGTCTGCAGTCGATAGAAAATACAAATATGTCTAATTTTAGAACAACGCCATTTTGCCATTTTATATAAACAAATAAATTAAAAAGATATTTGGACAGCCGAACTTAATTCATTTCTAAAGATAACTATTTCCATAATAAGTTTTTATGACTTAAGTGGCCAATGGCTAGTACATGACTCACCTTCGATTTGCCGACGATATACCTTAAGTCGAAATTACCTACCCAATGGTAGACCTTAAGATGAACATGGACATAGCAAAGATCATGTGTAACGTCCACGTCACACCTATGTTAGTCCGACCAATAGTTGTTGAGAGCACTAAGCTCGAAGTTGTTGCACTTTGACCGAGAGGTCAATTGTCGGATTCAAAACGACTGGGCAGCGTTCGGGAGATTACGAAACATCTTCTCGTCAGGTATACCTCAAACCTTGAAAACGAGATTCTACAACCATTGCGTGTTGCCAGCGATGACTTATGGATTTGAGACGTGTTCCTTCACTGTTGGCCGTATGAGGAAGCTCAAGATCGCTCAGTGAGCCATGGAGAGGGCTATCTCGAGGTTTCTCATCTTTTTTTTAATAGCATACTGTGACAAACGAGCACACAGTCCACCTGATGGTATGTGGTTGCTGTGGCCCATAGACATCTACATCTATCCTCGTTTGCGAATCAAAATGCAGATGCGTTGTCAGCCTTGAGGACTAAGATGGAATGCCTCTTTTCCAGTAAAAGGGGTCTCCGATTCTATACATTCACCATACGAAACACAGCAGCGTTAAGCTGCTTGTCACCCTTTTCCTATAAAAAAAAGAATATATTCGCAGCAGAACCAGAGTAACCGACATTGCCCAAAGGATTTAGTGAGCTGTAGTGGCAATGGGCCGATCATATAGCTCGAAAAAGCGACAACCGATGGGAAAGCAAGGTTCTCAAGTGGCAGCCTCGTACCCGTGGATGCCCTACACTTCGTAGGGCGCCCTACACTAGATGGGGTGACGACCTGGCAAGAAATGCAGGAAGTCGATGGATGTAGGTGACTCAGGACCGTGCTTTGTGGCATTCTTTGGAGGAGGCCTATGTTCGCAGTGGACTTGTGAAGGGCTGTAATGATGATGATGATACCTAGGTGGTAGGACACCTGTTGTGTCTAGGAGTCCCTCTCTGTAGGTGACCTATCTTACCTATTTTTGCTGCTATTTAGTTTCGGTAGGGAAGATGTAGGGAGCCGGTATAATTATAGACTATGAGGTATTCGATCAAAGTTAACAGCGCATTTGTTGCCATATTTGTCTGAAGTTGGCTGCAGGTGTCCGAAGACTGAAGTAGCCACTTACAGGTGGTTGTGTGTTCGTTTGTTTTTGTCTTGCGATTTATAAAAAAAAACATAAATTTCCTACAATAATGTCATAGCCTCTCATATAATTTTTTATTTAATTCTGTTTTTATTTCTCCAAAATTTCTATCTCAATTTAAATTTACTAATACCGTCTCTAAGACAGATAACGAAAATAAAGACATATTCTGTTTCATTATGGAACTTTGAGATTAATATCTGTAAAGGCTTTTGTTCTTATACGGGCTTAATTTTTGAAGATAGGTCATTAACCTTCAACAACGATAACCAAACATTTGTAAGGCATTACACGGCATTCATGATACATTGTGTTGTATAAATTAGTTGTATCAGAAAAATAATTGTAAAACAACATAATTCTCTCTCGTCGATAAAGACGTGACTAAAACTAACTTGTTAGCACAGTAAAAGTAATTTTAACGTTATAACACAAGCAGAATATTTAGAAATATTATTCATTTTGAAATAACATTCATTTACTTCACGTAAAAATAATTCTTTCAAGTTAGATTACCTAGACGATAGTTGTCAAAGGTGTCAAACGTTTGTAGGGCCATTATTCTTTCCGCCTAGATCTCGGAAAAATCTCTACAGTCGACCAGTTCTGCAATCAAAACCAGTTCTCACATACCGTTACGTGGAAGTCATTTCTTAAACGCACTGTCAACGCACGTCGAACGTATCGAACTATACTTACTATGAGAAAAGAGCACAACACGCCCTTTAAAATAACTTAGTAACACATTACTGTAAATCTATACTGTCATACTCGTAAGACAGATGGCGCCAAAATTTGTTAAACTGAAACTTAGTAGAAATTTTTCCAGAGTATTTTTGAGATCGAGCTAGTAATTTGATCTTAGAAGTTTTCGAACTAATGCACGGATTAATAAATGTTATTTAACAAAGTTCTTGCCATTATATATAATATTGCTATATATAATATTCACTACAACAATTATTTTATGTACCTAATACGAGAGTATTTTAGTTTACCAGCTTATTCGCATGTCCTTTCATGACCAGAATTCTAATTACACTTTAAATAATTCAGACCCTAGTTGAATCACTTCTGAGGGATGTGAAATACCGTAAAATTTTGTCAATATTCACAACACAACATTGGTCTGCCATCGCTTCTCCATCGTTTGTTACAGCAGTCTTGCCCGAACAAGCCGCAGAAATCGGAAATCCACTTGAAGTTCTCTTAAAATCATAAAGCTAAAATCTTTTGAAAAATGAATTCTTTTTAATTTTGCCACTATACTCTACGTTCAACTAAGACGTTTCTAATTCTCTAGGTTTCATTTTCTTCTGCTTTTATTTATTCGAATTAAGCTACTAACATCGAGTATTAATAAAAACTATAATTCAAATCGAAAGATTTTTCATATCATCATTTTTATTCGTCAACACTGTCCTGAGTCACCTCGATCCATAGACTTCCTGCAAGTCTTACCAAGTCGTCATGGATTGACTAGTGGGGTGTCGCCCTAGACTTTACTTACTGGTGCGAGACCGCCATTCGAAGCACAGCTCTCTTCATAGCGCACCATAGATGAAGAACAAGAACCATAAGATGAAGGAAAATCAGTTAAATTAAACCAATATTATAAAATATTATTTATGTTTGGTGGCGGTATAACAATATCTACTGCCCAATATCCTGTGGGAGTCGTAAGAGGCGACAGAGGGAAACTGAAACAGTAACGGATGGCAGCATGTTGCTGATGACAACCCAAAATAATAATAAAAACAGCGTTTTTCAACCCGTCTGTCAAGCGTGGCAAGGATGGTAAAATTGTCCCCTATAAATGTCTGTATGAATTAATATAAAATATACATCGGCGGTATATTGCGCAGTCACTATTGGAGAAGGGTTAGAGCTGTTCGGTGATGCTAATTATAATAAATCAAACGCAACAAGTAAATATTTCATGTAAGGCGAACAGCTTTTTAATATCACATGTAGAAAAACGCGCGTTTTATGAGGATCAAGATTTGTAATGTAAATGTAAAGTTTGTGTGCAATTAAAATCTAAATGAATATTATTTTCTATGTCAAGAATTGCCTTCAGTAGTATTTGTCTCGAGTCAGGTGGATAGATACCGCCATGAACATTATAAGATTGTAATGGCACAAAAGAAAGTATTTATTTTGTAGCACGTCTGGTTTGTTTTCAAATAGAAACTTTTTCGTTCGAAATTCAAAATAATTAAAATGTAATTGATTTATTTTTCATAAAAATAACATTGGATTTTGTAAGGAAATTGTAATATTATGCACTACTACTCCATATCATCACGTGGGTGTCGTAAGAGGCGCCAGAGGGAAACTAATCAAGAGATGGGCACCAGCGTCCTCCTAATAAATGCCTATGTTCCGCAGGGGACTCCACTATCCTGTAACGGTGACGGTAATTTTCCCATTACTTATTTTCCAGTTATGTGTATTTTAAACTCCTTTGACCATATAACGAATGTTATCTATACCTATATAATAATATGTATGTATATTGTTTTCGGTGGTGTCATCGGCGCCAAACCACAGGTGGCCACTTGGTACAGGGTACGTTACATTTTTAATCCAATATTGTGTATGCTTGAGCATAAACTTGTCAACATTGAACGTATATTCGACCTGCATGAATCAGCCATGATTCAACAAAAACTCCCCGCTGTGGAATATCTTAATTTATATAAGGGCATGATAATACTGTTAATCACTGCATGATTTAAATTTTTAAAACCAACACAATGTGACTGGTTGGCTGTAAAATATCCACCTCATTCATAAACAACTAAACCTACTTAGTGGTCGTCGCATGAATATGTAATCTGTGTCGGTAACATAAAAATATACGTTTTACGTGTTACAACAATGTTTTGGATAAGAATATTTTCATTTGTGAATGCAGTGTCTCTTTTGCCGTTGTTTATAAATGTTTGTGCCATTGTAACTCTCAACTATGCGCCATTGTCATTTTTTTTTAAATAAATGAACATTTTTTAGTTGAATATATAAGCTATAGCTCAGACCGACAAGAAAGAAAGACGGAGATCTGTGCACATACGTGGTACACGTGGTAGAGTCACGCTGTAGCTATATTATGGTTGTAGCACGAATGGGTCGGCTCGACCGGGGAAGGACAACGCTCTCACAGAATACCAGCGTAAAATAGCAACTTAATACTGCTGTGTTTCGTATGGTGAGTATAGAGATCCGGAGACCCTTTTTTACTGTAAACGAGGCATTCATGTAACAAATATATATTGTTAAATTTTTTCCTGAATAAAGAAATTATTATTATTATTATTATTCCATTACAATCCTCAGGGGTAACAACGCATCTGCGTTTTGATTCATAATCGAGGTTAAATGTAGATATCTATAGGCCACAGCATCCACTTACCATCAGGTGGACTATGTGCTCGTTTGTCAGCCTTATTCCATAGAAAAAAAACGTTCAAATGACGCAAAAATCAAGCCAAAACCGTGCTTAACTTATTGTAAAAACACGTACGCTTATACAGCCAAAATTGCTTATAACGTTTTTACAGGCTGATATTGAAATAAAAAGTCAAGAAGTTGAACATAGTTTTGGCATTATTTGGAATGTGTAAAGGGCTCCGTATCTCTTTTTCTCTCTTTGTTGGTCTGAGACTATAGATGAAATATAAAACTTACAAGTAAAAGTGATAATTATTAAATACCATAGTATGTTATAGCATGCATACGTTGTAATGATGTGAAATCATCGTTCATTCGTCTCGCGTGATAGAAAACATCAAGCAATGCGTACAGCGGCCCACAGTCGATGGCCTACATATGAGAATAGCCCCCTTCCTTCGCACTGTTGCATTATTTTTTCCGCTCTCCTAACGCTAAACCATTCCTTTGTATTGTTTATTTTTCTCCCCAAGTTTTCCTATTTTCAAAGCATCGAGCGTTCCTTTTTCTACCAGCAACTAGAAATGTAAATACATACAATGCCGTGTGCTTTGGATTGAGTCAAACCGATCCTCTCTTTTTTATGTTTGTCCTTAACAAGAAAAATGGTAGAACAATGGTAAAAAGAACAAAATGTTTTTTTTTTGCCAAATACAGCAATAAGTTATTGTATTTTGACTATAGATACTTTGCTATTAACCAAAACCAGTTTTATTGGAATAACTTAATATAATGTATCATGACAAAAATATTATAAAAGTGAAATTTAATCACATCAAGAAAGTTTATAGTGTATTTTAAAGTATCACTAACAATACATTCACTAGTAAATCGTTCAATAAAGAATATCAAAGAGGTTGTTTAGTTTATTACACAATCGTGTTTCCTTTTACAGTAAACACTATAATGATTTCTTTCTTATGTTTACGCGAACACTAAACATTTAAATAAAACTAGTTTTTACGGATTTTTTCGCGCATATTATCCTATTATATATTCCCGATATTTCGAGCACTTTACGACACCCACGGTCACGGAGGGACTGAGGTGTTGGACGTCCCAATGCCATAGTTAACAACGGCTACCTTCAGATTTTTGGGCCGATCTACGCGGTATGAACTTATAGTATCTTGAAATCTTGCAGTTGTATGTGTGGTTTGGGATTTAATTTTATTAATTATAGGACTCCAAGCAGGTGATAGCACCCAGCCATCTTCTCTATTGTAATTAGGATTTTTTTTATTTCAATAGTCTTGCGAATCTTCCTTCGAAGCAATCGATGTTCTTTAGTGAGGATTTGTCTATCAAATGTAATGTAGTGACGGGGACGGTCCTGGACGTATTCACAGACTGCAGACAGTGTTCATACAGCTGATGTGAAGAATTGACGCTCTGGGAAGTCACGTTAAGTTTTAATTTTAAAATCAATTATAGTTGTGAACCCATTTACAATGTTAAAGCTGACAAAATTATAAGAGTCACTTAACGTGAACGCCTCGTATCCAGTAAAAAGAGTTTATCCTGTTACCTACACTCACCATACGAAACATAACAGTAATTAAGCTGCGATTTTACGTGGAACGAAAAGTGGGAGCGTAGACTAATTACGACCAACTGTTTTAGCACAGACTTGTAAGGATAAATCCAGTCTAAAGTTTTAGAAAATTATTCAAATGAAAGCGATTCAGTTATTTAGTAAATGTAGTATAAATAGAATTTAATTTCAATTCTTTCCTATTTTTAACAAAACAACTTATAACGGTAAAATGACGAAAACATTAAAAGACAAAATTCCGATTTTTATTAATGCCGCAGACAGCTCGCAATAATGACGACCTTTCTCTTTATTCTCGGTGATTGATTTCTTGTATACATACCGTCGACTCGATTTTAATCCAAGATAGATTGTCTCTGCTAAGTTATATGAGGTATAAGAACTTAATATTATGATAAAATTTAGAATATTAATTTTTCTTAAATCTGTTTTTTTACATGTAATCATGTAAGATTCACAATCTATGTAAGATTGGGACGTTTAAATTAATTAAACAACGGTAAGAATGTGCTCAAGCGGTTCCGGCCACAGTGATATCTGGAATGACGTGTTGTGACGTGACCTGTGATTACTACGCCTGATACGCCTAATATCCGTATCACGGACATAGTGTTGATAAATGAAGTTCAAAAATGAAAAATAAAAAATAACCATCATAAAATAACAATATGTATCGCTTTAATTGTGTTCAATGGCATTCTATAGAGGAAAAGTTTTTATAGGAGCGGGTCTTAAGCCAGTCATGCTTCGCCAAAAATATTTGGAAAAATCTTAACTTCCTGACCACCGAGATCACACCAGTGCAGTTTCAAATATACGATAACATCATGGAACTCATAATGTTATTGTTTTGTCAAATGAATAAGCAGGACAACATTTATTTTAATAATGATTAAAAATCACAAAATATCTATGAACAGTAACAGATAAAACTTAAACCATCGTTACCCAGTTTAAAATGCGTACACTCCGCACGTCCACGTAATAGAGAGGGCATGCACTATGAGTAATTGGCACCTTCACTAGTCTTGCCTTTATTATTAGCTCCGTTGGTCTATAGCGCTATAATTCCGTTACTGTCCAGAGTTCAAAGTGCTATACCTCCGTTACTTTCCATACACGAAACCCAGTTGCTGGCAAAACACCGAATGTGAGAACGAACAAACGAGTAAACATTAGAAGTTAAATCTACTTATACTTACGCAAATACTAC